AAATGCAGCTAATTTAATTTGAGGATCGCAGAGGAAAGGACATGAATTGGAGAGCGATTTAATTAATAGGCCTTAATAAAAAATTCTCGTTCACTGATCGATTCTCAATGCTATGCCTAGTTTTACGATTTCAGTTTAAACTGTTGGCGCCTGTTTTGTACCTATTAACCGTTGTAACACGTTGTCCAATTAAGGTGTCCTACTTTCGGTCAATTATCTGTAAACTCTGATCCATTCGAATCGGACGATAAATGCTGAATGATCGTGCCATAAAAGGCGCAGATAAGGTTTACGTTCGACCTCGTTTACGCACGCTGCATTTTTATCGATTTGCTTGCATGGATTCGTCAAATTATCCAACATCGAACAAGATATTGAACTGGCATCCGAACTTTTACAGTTACGTAATTACACTGAAACTTCATGCATCTTTTACGATAATATTTACTACAATAAATTTACATTGAAGATCGAGAGCGACTCGTTTGGCAATCTGTCTTTCGTTAAAAAATGATTTCTAGAGTTCATGGAGAAAAATTCAAGATGATTCTCGTTCCACTGAATTGATATTACACGAAAAGATCAAAGACCATTCATTTCATAATCTATTCCGATGAGGCTGGATATATGAAGACATTTAGAATTCATGCGGAGCAACTTAAAATAGTTCCAACGGCGACGTTTGAAAAATCAATCCGACGAATTGAAAGATCAAAGAAGCACGCCCGATTAATTTTGTGCAATCTACTTTGAATTGTCCAGTTCTATTGATCCATTGACCCACAATTTTCTCGTGGCAATCCGTTAAATGTTCCTGTTATCATCACGACATCGACTAATTACTCGACTAATGGATCAATTCGAGAAATCCTCGTTATTGAAGCGCACACACGGCAATGCCAGCACTGTCTGACAATTAATTTTCTTCAATGGACTTTCAATTGTCTTATTTTTCCTTTCCTCGATGCGACAGTATGTCGTGCCAATTATCGCTTAATGCAAGAATTTATTTCGTTTCTCTTTTTTTTTCTTTCTTTTTTAGGAGAAACAGAATACGATATCATACGGAGGAAATCGTCGTTCGAGGGCATCGCTGTTGACGACGACGAAAATGCAGATTGCTCAACGTTAGTAAGTAAATTTCTGTCTTATCGTTATTACGTCTAACATATACATGCAATATTATATAATTCTTTCATTGAAATCGTTCGAACGTATTTCTCGACGATTTAATGAAAAAATAAATAAATAAATAAATAAAACAAAAAATGGTGAAATTATGGGTGCGAAAAGCTGTGCGACTGATGCAACGATAAACGATAAATTCCGTGTGTTTCGCCGTATCAATATCTAATATTCTTCTCTTCTCTGGCTCCAGTCAGAGATAACGGCGAGCAAGCAATGTTCCACTTTGAATTTTTTTTCATAATGAATAAGTGGCAATTGAATCTGTATATCACGCTGTATATTACTATCATTATCATCATCACGGGACGTTTTGTCGTAGTTGCCATAATTAATTTGGAAAACTAGAATTAATTCGCTGGTGTTTAATTATACTCGTTTCCAATGAAAAGAATTTTTTCAATGATTGTTAATACTAGAATTACTTTAATAATACTAATTTCAATGGCAGAAACATATTATAATGAACAAGTGGCAATTGAATCTGTATATTACGCTGTATATTACTATCATTCACGGGACGCTTCGTCGTAGTTGCCATAATTAATATGGAACTGTAGAATTAATTCGATAAAATGTCGCTGGTACTTGATTATACTTGTTTATAAATATGTCGATAATATGTCGCTGGTACTTGATTATACTCGTTTCCAATGAAAAGAATTTTTTTCAATGATTGTTAATACTAGAATTATATTTTTGCAATGATTGTTAATACTAGAATTATATTTTCTCAATGATCGTTAATACTAGAATTATATTTTTTCAATGATTGTTAATACTAGTATATTTTAGTAATACTAATTTCAATAGCAGAAACATATTATAATGAACAAGTGGCAATTGAATCTGTATATTACGCTGTATATTACTATCATTCACGGGACGCTTCGTCGTAGTTGCCATAATTAATATGGAACTGTAGAATTAATTCGATAAAATGTCGCTGGTGCTTGATTATACTCGTTTATAAATATGTCGATAATATGTCGCTGGTACTTGATTATACTCGTTTCCAATGAAAAGAATTTTTTTCAATGATTGTTAATACTAGAATTATATTTTCTCAATGATTGTTAATATTAGAATTATATTTTTTCAATGATTGTTGATACTAGAATATTTTGGTAATACTAATTTCAATAGCAGAAACATATTATAATGAACAAGTGGCAATTGAAACTGTATATTACGCTGTATATTACTATCATTCACGGGACGCTTCGTCGTAGTTGCCATAATTAATTTAGAAAACTAGAATTAATTCGATAAAATGTCGCTGGTACTTGATTATACTCGTTTATAAATATGTCGATAATATGTCGCTGGTACTTGATTATACTCGTTTCCAATGAAAAGAATTTTTTTCAATGATTGTTAATACTAGAATTATATTTTCTCAATGATTGTTAATATTAGAATTATATCTTTTCAATGATTGTTGATACTAGAATATTTTGGTAATACTAATTTCAATAGCAGAAACATATTATAATGAACAAGTGGCAATTGAATCTGTATATTACGCTGTATATTACTATCATTCACGGGACGCTTTGTCGTAGTTGCCATAATTAATTTGGAACTGTAGAATTAATTCGATAAAATGTCGCTGGTACTTGATTATACTCGTTTATAAATATGTCGATAATATGTCGCTGGTACTTGATTATACTCGTTTTCAATGAAAAGAATTTTTTTCAATGATTGTTAATACTAGAATTATATTTTTGCAATGATTGTTAATACTAGAATTATATTTTCTCAATGATTGTTAATACTAGAATTATATTTTTTCAATGATTTTTAATACTAGTATATTTTAGTAATACTAATTTCAATAGCAGAAACATATTATAATGAACAAGTAGCAATTGAAACTATATATTACGCTGTATATTACTATCATTCACGGGACGCTTCGTCGTAGTTGCCATAATTAATTTAGAAAACTAGAATTAATTCGATAAAATGTCGCTGGTGCTTGATTATACTCGTTTGCAATGAAAAGAATTTTTTCAATGATTGTTAATACTAGAATTACTTTAGTAATACTAATTTCAATGGCAGAAACATATTATAATGAACAAGTGGCAATTGAATCTGTATATTACGCTGTATATTACTATCATTCACGGGACGCTTTGTCGTAGTTGCCATAATTAATTTGGAACTGTAGAATTAATTCGATAAAATGTCGCTGATACTTGATTATACTCGTTTGCAATAAAAAGAATTTTTTCAATGATTGTTAATACTAGAATTACTTTAGTAATACTAATTTCAATAACAGAAACATATTTAATATCTCTGTTTCCAGTGGGAAAATTATTAGTGGAAGAATTATTAATAGTAGAAGAAAACAGATTTTTAAATTGTTATTGCAATTATTAATTAACAATTATTACTATTAGTAGGAGAAATATACTTTAAAATTAGAATTAGGACAACAAATATGCTTATCATTTAATTAAGCAAGTCAATAATTTGATAGAATAATAGCTTGTTAAATTCCAATATATTTCCCTCTATTGCTAATCATTAATTACGTTTCGTATGACGTTTTATCTATATCTTGTGTGTTTCTGTCTATTTCTGTACTGTAACCTACTTACTGTTAGAATGTGTCTCACTATGTCTCTATCGATCGATACTCTTGGACTCTGCCCTTTCACCTGCGCTCTCCTTCTCTCTCTACTTTGATTTCACGATACATCGTACTTTAAGCTATATTCGTCACTTTAATTAAAACTATAATTAAAACTTTGTTTATTTCTCAGCGAAATAGAACATCGTCCAATAATTGTTAAATCAGCGTGCTGTGCGCTTGAGATTGTTTTTTTTTTTTTTTAAGGCCATCATTTTTCTGCTTTGTGTTCGCCGTAATTATTTATACGCTGGAATTGCAAAACAATCTCCCAAATAACATGTTATGAAGCGCTATTGTATGTAAAGTTTTTGGTGCCACTCAAATTTTATTTTCGTTCAGCGAGTCCAAATTTTATTTTAACCTTTTCAACGATAATGTTCAACTACTACTTCCGACAGTTCTTATTGCTTTGCAAGCTTTTAAATCATAAAAATTAACGATTTGAATTAAAAATTAGCGACATAAGTTTCATTTCTATTTGACAAGTTGGAATATCACTTCGTGCTTTCTATTAACAATTTTCAATTCGTGACTAAAAATTTTTGCGATAGACTGATACGTTATGTAAAAGGAAACACACGACTTTCCAAAATCATGTATAAATGTAGGTCTTCAAATTATTTTTTTATTACTCTATTTCTGCTGTCTGTATACTATTCCAAACTGATCGATTAATCATTTTATCGATCCATATTATCCTCGTCTCCTTAACCTCTCAACTTTTTTCATTATTCATCAATATCAACTATCGATCCTCTTCAAACTTCAAAATCCTCTACAGTAAGAAAGAAAAATCATTTCTCCAGAATCTCCTCTAACTGCAAAGTTCGTGTCTTTCGTTAATCTCCGGAAATAGGAAACAGGACAAAAGGGAGGAAGCTCATTTAGAAACGTCGTGACGGGACACAGCTCATTTCTCTAAAATTTCCTCTCAATTCAAACTTTCGTCCACCGATCACCGGAAATAGGAAACAGAAGAGAAAGAAGGAAGCTCATCTAGGAACGTCGTGGCATTGCAAAATTTCCTCTAATATTCGAAATCGATCGTTCGTCGATCTCTAGAAATAAAAAAACAAACAAACAAGAGAAAGAAAAGAAGCATCAGCTGATTCAGAAACATCGTAGCGGGACAAAGCTCGTTTCCCTAAGATTTCCTCTGACTTCAATCTCCGGAAGTGGTAAACAGAAAGAAAAAGAGGGGAGCTCGTTTAGAAACGTCGTAACGGGACAGAAGCTCACTTCTCCAACGTCTCTTCTGATTTCGAAGTTTCGTCCATCGTTCTCCGGAAGTAGGAAACGGAGAAGTGGAGGAAAGGAAGTTGATTCAGAAACTTAGGAAGAGTGGAGGGGGAATGGGTTCGGAGACGTACAGCGTCAGCCTTTCTTTTTCTCACGCAATCGTTCCTCATCAGCAATTAACCCTCTCAGCCAAGAGCAATTGCGAACTGTTTCGTTTCGAACACGTGGCGTGGTTCGCACTGTCGAGTGGTCTCATTAATCTTGCATCGAGTTTTCTGGAAGTTTCGAAAGGGGCGGGCGACGAGAGATCAATCGCGGCACGACCTAACCATCCTGAATATTTAATCGGCCTGTCGAGAGCTCTGATTCCCTTTCGAACGAATTATTTAACGACACCCTGTTTTTATACCCTCTCTGCCTCCCTCGTTTGTCGTTGTTCTTTCTTTTATCAAAAACTCGGTGCACCGCCGCCAGGTTCATACTTCTCCCGCTGCTTGGTCAGACAGGCCGACCATAGACAGGGTATAAGCTACTGTCTATAGACGGTCTGTAGGCACCAACAACAAGAGAGCAGCCGAAGAAGTTGAACGAGCAACGATGTCGTGACTGGTATATTATATCTTGCACAATACTTTGCCCAACGATTTCAGGGGGATTGTCTAGTTTTCAGGGAGCTCTTGTTTCGCTAATAGAAATCATCGAGACGCAGTTGTAATTCACGTTTGTCGAGGAACTTTCTAAAATCATCAGCAGAGAAATATATCATGCCTCTTTTTAACTGATCTTTCCTGTTTCTAAGTAAATTGTGAGTAAATACATTAACACGTAAGTAAATTAACACGTAGTAAAACTACTTCCGGAATGTTCTTCAAACGTGATACGAGTTACTTGAGATTATTTTTTTGTACGAGTTGGTTTTCTTTTTCTCGGCGAATTGGTAGTTTCCATCGGTTTACTATTGTCCCCGTACGATCGTTCGGGGACGTGATGTAAATTATCGGTCGAGATTATTTTACGGCGAGTAGGTTCGTCTTTTTAAAATAGATTCTTCTCCGCGAGTTTTTAGACGGTTCTCTTCGTTTCTTCTCTGACTTAGCTGGCAAAAGTTTACAGGAAGCGAGCGCTAATGAAAGCAGATGGTCGATGAACGAGCACGGTTCGCTGCGAGCAGAAGTTTTTTCAATGATATTGTCTGGAAAGTTTGTTACGTGACAGCGGATGGAAATTTGTTTTCATTGATCAAGGAATCCAGTGAGCTTTTAATCCAACTCGAACTTCTTTACTGTTTGGTAGCACGCTATTTGATAGGAATTGTTCTTAAATTAGTAACAAGTATTTTCATTCGAGCAAAGTTAAAAGATGTGTATTTTAATTTTAGTAGTTGACAAGCAGAGTTTAATCTCATGTTTTTAAATAGCAGGGGAAATCATTAATCTTATCGAGACGTCTCACAAAAATTTTCATTACGATACTACCAGCTTCTCGATAGTTCAATTAAAAAATCCCGATAGCATTTATTTATAATCGAAACGACTGCGGTTGCTTTTTATCGTTCGACTGTTTATTCGATTCGCTATTGATAATCGCTCGAAGAGCGATCACTTGGAAGAGCTACTTTATCACAGATAGAGCTTTTGCTCCTGATAGAGAGTGGAAAAGGATAATCTAGACCGATTATGATATTTTCAATTTAGTACCGCGATGAACGTTTTTCCGCGAACACGTGTCCCAACGACGCCATAAATCACAAGTCCTGCGTGTTGCACAATAATCTTTCCTACGGCACGGCCAGTATATATTCTACAATTAACGAAATGTAAATTGGAACGATCGGCTAATTAAACTCAATTTTCTGAACATGAACCGTTACGAATCGAACCAACGACCCGACTCACGTGGACGATTAATTACGTGAACGTAATTGTTATTTATCAGTGCGGATTGATTGAATAGATCGTTTGTGAATCGTTCGTGTCAACTAATGATTTTCCATCATACTAGCACCGATGAACGAGCTAGAAGCAAATAACAGGCGATCGACGCAGATCCCGATCTACGTTTGTCGATCGAACGACGTCTATCAGGCTCCTACGTGGTACAGTTGGATTTTCCAAATAGCATGCAGCCCCTTTCGAAAGAAATGGGACGCGAATAAAAACGAAATACCTCAGTTGCCTGCACAGGTACCAGAAAACCTCTGTGAAACGTAATTGAAGTTGCTTTCATCCAATATAATTCACTTTGACTTTCTAAGGAAACGTCCTTCGAAAGTATCGTTCTGTTGATTGACAGTAAATATTCGAACATTCATTTATAAAAAAAAAAAAATATATCTGTTTCGTTAATATTCACAAATTTTTAAACGAGTTTTTACGTAATGTTCGTTGGTTATAATAAATATTCAGAACACGTAGATTCGATGGATTTTTGAATGTTCATGTATGAAATATTATTTTGTTGATTAACGTTCTTTTTTAAGACACGTTATGATAAGACATTCTATACGTTTCGTTAATTTTGACGTTTATATGATATTTTGTACTTCGTTAATTTTTAAACGTTCGTCTGTGAAATATTATTTCATATAATTAATGCATAATTAATATTCAAACATCCACATGTAAGATACGTATATTTCATGTTTCATAAATTTCGATGAATTGATGAATAAATGTATTTTTGTCTATGAAATGTCGTTTTGTTGATCATAAGTAAGAATTCATGAAATATATATATATATATTTTACGTTCTGTTAATCTCAATGAGTTCTTAAACGTTTATGTATGAATCGTTAATTGCAATAAAAATTCAAACATCCATTCATAAAATGCATATATTTTATACTTAAATGCATATATTTTATACTTAATTTCAATTGGATTTTTCAAACGTTCGTATATGAAATATTAAAGTTTCGTTCGTACCAGAGGATAGGAATTATCTATTTCATATAGCCTCAATTCGTCTGAAAAATTCTTCGACGATAAAAAGATTTTCAATTATCTTCCTTTCACGTGTCTTTCCGTGGAAATAAACGATGTATCAAACTGAATGAACGTTTATTGCGGCCTGTCAGATACACACTATTTTATTTTATAGAATAACATTGGTATTAGATGACGACTTACTTCGTATAATATACTCTTCGTCTTCTTATCTTCCTATAGCCTGTAAAATTTCTAACCCAGATTATTTGATACTATTACGAGATGAATGAACTGTATGATGTGAATTTCGAATGACTGAATTTTCCTTCATGGCTGCAGTAAATAATGCAAACACTCGAGAACAAATTTTATTACGATCATGGAATATAATTGTGTACAATATAATACAGTTTGATCTTTCTCTACGTAATTATAATGCTATTTCATTTCTGTACAAATTGAATTTTCACACACTGACGAAAACTCCTCTCCAGAAAGTTTCTTTCGTTTATCATCATTGCGCTCGCAAGCTCCGTGTTCAAGAGTACGTTCTCAATCCACGCTGAAAGTGATTCGAGAGATCACTTCAGTATCGATTGATCGAACTATATCTCGTACTTGGAACGTTCGACGCGCTCAGAATAATAGCTCGACATGGAGAGGCTCTTCTTCTTCTATGATCCAAGAATCTAGGTCGGGGAAAATTGCAAATCGAAAACAGAATTGTAAGAAAAGAAAACAAGAAAACTGATTTTCCAGTGTCTCTCGAATTTAAAAATATTCAGATCTCGACGATCTGAACCTACAGAAGATTCTAACAACACTCTCAATTGAATCGAAAGTATTATCGACGGATTTCTCATATCACGTTCAACGACCAACTTCGTCGTATTTGCTTTCGTACCGGTTTAACTTCAGATTCGTCTGTCTGTTTGCCATGATCGTAACATGTGCAGATTATGCGTACCACGATTCCGCGACGATTCTAGTATCAAGCAACACGCAGCCAAGTACGAATGCAAAACTCGGAACGTCAAAATGTGGAGACTAAAAAAGTGAAACGATCGCCGCGTGCACGACGGCGAGCTAAGGTTATCGGAGAACTCGAGTTCCCGGAGTCTCGCGTTTCCGACGCCGTGCTAGTACGTGCACAATGTATCTGCCCTGCTGTATTATTTAAAAAACGCCTGCTGTATATTCGAAAACATATTGCATTATCTAATTGAAAAATGCGACTCGTATTTAAAACCAGACAAATTAATCGCCGCTGTTTCCAAGATTTCATCCGTTTAACGTTTTATTTCAGAGAGGACCGCAAAATATTGAAGCTCATCCGTTGACGAACAGTGTTCCTAGTCTCGTAAAAGTAAGTCGAAGTTTCTCCTGTGTACACTATCTAACAATTGACTATGACATCTGCGATAGACAAGCCTATTTACATTTCCATTTGAATTAATCGTGTAGACAGTATACAGTGGTTTATGAAGATATTCTTTAAATTTCTTTTTTATGAATATATTATAGTCTTGCATATATAATGCATTTATAAAAGTCGTCACAAATATATTATAGACGCGCTGCGGGTTTTTTATATTTTCGTGAATATAGCATATATAAGATGGATCCTAAATAGAAATCTCTTAAAATTCTTATTTAATTGTCACTTTAATAAATTAGATATTCATTTAAATTCTTAAATCTTATATTTAAAATTCTTATTTAATTAAATATCCATTTAAATTCTTAATCCTTATACTTCAAATTTCCCATAAAGTTCGCAGCTGAAATACTGTAAATTGTAAAGAACTGTTTGATGATGATTATTATTATTAACTGTGAAACAAATTTTTTTCTCAAACGCGTCAGATATTACTGGTCTTCCCCAAAGATGACCAACAAATGGACATTCTCGCCAACACGTCGAGACGATTGGGCTGGAGCGTGTCGGCGGCGAAGGACATGGAAAAAGCGGTGGAATCCTTCCAGGATCGAGGTCACGAGCTAGTGATCATCGATTATCGGGGGCAACGCTCTGCGGAGGCCGACATGATTTGTAGGTATGGGGTGTGATTTTTCAAAAATTCGACCAGATTCCCTGAGCGTACACGTTGACTTTTTTTCTAACTTCTAACGGACGAAAATTTCATTCGTTTTCAGGGCGATCAGATCTAGTCCCGTTTACCATAATTCCGTTATTATAGCACTTGTAAAGAAATCGTAAGTTGATCTACTTATTACAATTTTCTAACTTTTCTTTCTCTCGAAACGACATTTATATATTTTTTTCTTTTCTGTTTCTCCTTTTATTAATTATTTATTAATTATAATTTTATTAAATTAATCACAACAGGTTCCTGATGCACGGCGAGAAAGATAAAATCGTGATGCTGGATTTACTGGAAACAGGATTCAGCAGAGTGAGTGTCTAAGAGTAATTTTGGAAGACTCTGATTTTTAACCTCGACGAAGTATTTCTTCCTAAATCAGAGGAGGCTAACTGGCGGCTTGCCCCTACTTTCCTGATCGCTACCCCCACCACTGAGATTTTCTCTGTAGCGGAGAGATCGATGCAGTGGAGGGGATAGCGCTAGCGACTAGAATAGTAGGGACAAGGCCGCCAGTTAGCCATCCTCGAAATAAGATCGTAAAGTGATTCGAAGCCTCGTTTCAGGCTTTAATGGAGTGTTCACACGAGAGGATCCTAATAAACGAACTAGTAGGGATTTATGCTAGCGCTCTGGTACCAAGAACGCAACTGGCGGCTGCCAATGCGCTCTACTTGGCACTTGACAGATGCCGTGACATGGTTCACGTGACGAACGATAAACACATTGTACAGGTAACACGAGTAATCAATTAATAAATCATTCGCAGTTTTGTACATCCGTCAAGCCTCGATTCTCTTAATAACTCCTCGGATTATAAAATCGAGCTACACTCGTAGTAAGACTTAGAATTTGAAGGATTTCGATTCGAAAGAAAATTGTAGTCCCACAGAAAGATAGTGAATTCGAATGTTCAATTTTAATTTTTCCAACTGAGGATCGATAAATACGAGTTCTAATTTTTTTCAATATTTTACATCTGACACGAGGTAACATGTTACAATAGCTAATGTTCAGCAAAGACTGAGAAGAAACTGTTACTTTAATAAAAATTCAAAAATACACGTGCGCCTTTCAACGATGTTGACTAATTCATGAAACTACTTTCCAGATTTTCAAACGTTACTCGTAAGACGATTAATACTGACTAGTTGCGCAAGATGGCTAATCATTTTAATTATATATTGAGATCATATCCATTTCTCTTCTCTGATTGCAGTTTGTTAATAAAATTAGCGAGAAATTACTAGGTTATAAGACAAGCGAAATCTTGGGGAAAAGCATCACGGACATAGTGATCTACGATAACTTCATTCTAATGGAGCAACACATAAGCAAAGGCCGGGAGTTCGAAGGGAACATGAACTGTAAACGAAAGGACAATCAAACGATCACGATCAGCTGCAGAGTGATACCTTACAGTATTAGCTTAAAGTAAGTCGGTTCTGAATTCAATCTGATCAATTCTGATCAACGATACGATCGTATCTCGCCTCTATCTTTCACTTGCCCGTTTTCCCCGTCTTCTTTCAGAAAACCGAATTATTATATTTACATATACGATACCACGTATTTATCAGAGAATATTGAACTGTTGAGCTCGGCCATGCAACCAAGAGGAACCGTCGTGTCTCAGCGAAAGATGTCCGAAATCAAATCCATCGAGGGTAATATTTTATGTGTTATTATAGAACTTGTGCTTTCATGATACTTCGTACGAAACTTAATTTCGAATGTTCGATTTTTTCTTTTTTTGTTTCTTCAGCGACTTGGAAAAAATTTTATTGGCCAATCATTTAATTAAAATCGTACGTTCTCTCTGAGCAAGCTCGGATCTAGTTGAAAATATTATGTAAAACTCGTTTCTTTGGTCTTGATTCGAAAAAAGGAAGTTAAACATCTCCCACGTAAATTCCAATAAATTTCCAAGTAGTTTGAAATTCGAGAAAATGTATAACAGTTTCGATTCATATGTTTCTCTCCCCCAAAAAATCTGCGCAATTTCTTCTCCACAATGATCTATATACCCGAAGCTAAAAATCGGATCATTTTAAAACTACAAACTCACCGCGTAAAATTTTTTTTTTTTTTTTTTCGGCAACCGATTCGTTAACG